GGCGTTGTTGTTGTTGAGTTCCTTGCCCGACGAGGAATATGAGACCTTCGTTCTTACTCTTATTAATGGGAAGACATCTCTTTCGTATAGTGAGGTCACCGCTGCACTTGTGAATTATCAGCTTCGAAAGAAGGATAAGGAGACTTCGTTTGAGCCGGTAGCGGGGGCGTTGGTCGCAAGAGCAAAGGGTCCAAACCGTAGTGGGAGGTCGCAGTCTAGAGGGGCACATCTTGGAGTTCGTAAGAATCAATGTGCCTTTTGCAAAGAAGATGGACATTGGAAAGCCGATTGCCCAAAGTTAGTTGATCGAGCCGGGAAGAATAAGGGAAAAGCTATTCAAGCTTCAGAGGCGAATGTTGTCAAGGCTAGTGGCAACGATTCAGATTCGGATTCTTCGGGCTACTCGTTATCTGCACTGCCGTCAGTTTGTGTTGCCTATTATACAGAGTGGATGTTGGATTCGGGGGCTACATACCACATTTGCCCTAGGAGGGATTGGTTCTCCAGCTTTCAGGAGTTGGAAAGAGGGGATTTCGTGCTCATGGGGAATGATCACAAATGCTCTATTGGTGGTATCGGTACCGTTCGAATCAGGATGAGTGATGGAGTGATTCGGGAGTTGGTTGGAGTGAGGTTCGTTCCTCAGTTGAAGAAGAACATCACTTCTGCTGGTCGAACTCATACTCGACCTCCTCCACGACCGGGATCGAGATCCACGGCTGCGACGCTCCGATCTCGGCAGCGAGATCGGTGGCTCCCACTGTGGTCGCTAGATTGTTCACGGGGAAATTCGTTGCTTTCTTCATTGATGTCATTGCTATCTTGAATAACAGTTTTTACGTTACAAAAGTTTGGTGCTGGGGTATATGATTGGTAATGCCGTGCATTGGTTGTTGAGGAGTGCTATGACCTGCAGATTGAAGTCCTGTGAGCATATTGGGATGAGCAAGACCGTGGTGGAGTTTGGCATTCCTATCCATCGAGCGAGGGGTCTTTTAGGAGGTGTTCAGTTAGGCATTTTGGGGCCTTCCAAGGAGGCATCATTGGGAGGTAATCGTATCTTAGTTTCTGCAGTTGATGATTGTTCTAGGCATTATTGGGTCGCGACCAGTTCCCGTTGGTTTAAAGTCCTAGAAGTCAACAACAATTGGAAGAAGTGTATTGGCAGAAAGGTAACTCGTTGTTCTAGATTTGGTAGGGGTCCTTTCTTGCGTTTTTGCCGAGCTCACGGCAATAGGAGACACTTCATTGGTGTGGAGACTTTGGGGCGACGAGATGAGATGACTGTTTCAATGGGTCGTTCCTTTCTGGAGGAGGATCGGCGTTGGTTGTCGAGCATTGGTTCTGGAGCTTCGACATATTTGGGTCATCTTAGTCACAGGTCGCCGACTGCTGCATTAGGAGTTATTGGATCTGGTGGAGCTGCTTCAGATTTTGGGTTGCGTCGGATATTTGGATACCCAGCATTTGGTCACATTGAGGATGTGAGATTTGATCCGATTGCGCGTTTGGGGTTCGGAGGCTCAGTTGATTATCGTTTGGGAGCTTCTGATTTTGTTCTGAGCAGGTATGTCACTTTTGACTCTCGGCAGGTGGAGAGTGTTGATCAGGTCATTTGGATATCGCAGCAAGTTACAGATCCGTCGGCGATATTGGGGAAGAGTTGCATACTTTTCTATTTGTTTGAGGGTCTTTGGAGGCCGTTTGGGTGAACTACGTGAAGGCTTGATTCCTTGGGCAAGAGGATACGTAGGCAGTCTTTATGATGCAGCCGATTTGGTGAGCGACATCGACATTTGGGGTGAGTGTTTGCACTCCCATTTGGGTCTCAACATGTTAGGCATTTGTTTGGTTGGTGTCGGCTCAGTTTTGGGAAAACTTCACCGATGTGAAGAATTGTGGAGAAGAACTTGGAAAAAGCAGATTTTTGGTCATAAGTCGACTCATGCACAGGCATAAGTCGACTTATGGTAAGTCGACTTATGTTTGTGTCGTAAGTCGACTTACGATCTGCTGTGGATTGTTGAGTTTGGGCTCTGGCAAGTCGACTTATCAGACCTGTTAAGTCGACTTATGAACTCTTCTCCAGTTGTCGTTTTTCGCTCTGCCAAGTCGACTTATGCAGACTGATAAGTCGACTTACGATGGGTTTTTTGGAAAGTTCAGGTTCCTATTTGCAGTCTGTTTGGGTTTCTGTTTTGGTATAAATACCAATACGATTTGAGGGTTTTGTAGGAGCATATTTGGGGATTTTGGAGCACAGAAAAGAGAGATCTTTCTGAGCTATTGGTTAGGGTTATTGGTTGAGAGGTTGAGAGATTTGTTGGTGAGATTAGTTGGTTCGTTTGAGCGATTTGTAATCTCAATTTGTACTCTCCTTCTCTATTAGTAGAAACCCACCCCCTTCTTGCCCCGTGGACGTAGGCAATTGCCGAACCACGTTAAAATTGGTGTTTGGGTTTGTGCATTGATATTTGGTTGTTTTTAGCCTTCTTTGATCGGTGTTTGTTTTGGTTCCTCGACGCCGCCGTCCGTTCACTACAAGTGGTATCAGAGCATATCGCTGTTTGGCACAACACTAAGTACATTGTAGGGGTCTGTCAAATCATTCGCAACAAGGAACAATATCAACTTTACTATTGTTTTCCCGACATTACGAGTACTAGGTTTGGCGATGTATTTTAGGATGGTTTTGGCGCTTCACCTTCTTGACCATGCATGACCACTGGTTGCTTTAGGTGGTTGTTAACATTAGACCCCGACATCTCGTCTTTTAGAGTGGTTCTCAGTATTATATCAAGCCCTATCTCTCCTGCCGTTTTGCTTGCCAATTTGGGTATAATCAGCTCTACGTCGGCAATCCAAATGCTAGATTGCCGCGTTCAGCGAGTTTACTGGATGGTGCCTATGCTTGGTGCCATTTTTTCACCAGATGCAATGGTGTGAGGTTTACTCTGCCATATAAAATCCCTACAAGTATATGACTTTAGGATTTTCCAAATGGTGTAGCTCTGTAAACATCACCAATGAACACTTCAAGATTAACATGACTAGCAAGAAGTGGATTATTAAGCGGTTCAAGGAGCTTCCAAGGAGTCAAAGAGTAGAGCACCGAGGCTTAGTGAATTCCTGGATGACATGAAGTGAGGAGAATATGTAGATGACGAGGATGTGCTGATAATCACATTTTTATTATAATTTTATACTCTCATTATCTATTTTACATGAATAAATATACTTCTAATAATTGTTTTTATTTTTAATTGCAGGTTAATAAAGAATAAAACCCAAAATCTTATCTCTCAACAAAAGCCAATGAATTAATGAAGAATACAAGCAAAAGCCAAAAGTCAAAGCCCAAAAGCCCAAGCAAGAGAAGAAAATCAGCCAGAAAATGGAAAAATCAAGCCTATCGATGCCGGCATCGATGCCGGCATAGATGTCGTCATAGATGGCATGTTCCTGTTCCGAATTTAAAGGCTGATTTTGATTGTCTTGGGGCTCAAGTCTAATCCAACGGTTCTCATTCATTGTTGTAGGCTATAAATAGGGGGGTGTTTGTTTACCCGAAAGTAGGAAGTGAAAGTGTGAAAGTGACTTACTTTTATCACTTTTGATGTTTGTTTTATTGGAAGTGTATGTGAAAGTGAAATACCAAACTCTTGCCACGTAAGCTATAATACAATTTCAACTTACCCTAAAAAAGTGCGGATGTCACATGTAAGTGGAAAAAATGAGGACCACTCTTAATAAAAAAAATATATTTTTAATTAAAATTTCATTTTCTTAGGTTCGTTAACCAGTTTTTTATGCATGGCGGTTCACAACATCTAAAGTTTGGGAATATCATTTTTTCTTGAGTTATCTATATTAGCCCCTTAATCTTTGCTATTTTATCTAGTCTCTCAAATTATTGAAATTGCTATCAAGTGCATCAATACTTATGAGTTGTTGCACAATTAATCCCTTGATTCCTGAAATTACTATTACATTCTTCAATTTTTGTAAGTTCTTTCAGATTAATCCCTTTAGTCAAAGTCAATAGCTAATAGCAAGATATAAGAATCGAGGGACACATTTGCAATTTCAGTGAATTGAGAGACTAGTTCCCGAGCATTAAGGATGTAAATGACTATGATAAAAAAATCCTTATTTTTTAATTTAAGTATACAATCTGTAGCTGTTGATTAAATCTGATAAGGGGTCTTTACATGATTTTTTTTTCAAGTTGTTATGCTATGAATTAAATTTCCTATTTTTGTGTTTAATCGTGCTACTTATGTATTTTTAAATGCTGACTACTTTTTGCAATTACCAAAACCATTTAGAATATGATATGGTTTTTAATAAATAAATAAATATATGAAATGCCACATCATCTTCACTATCTTCACTTTTCTACTTTCTAATGATAACTTACTTGTGTAAACAAACACTGTGTTTCACTTACATGATGACATGGATGCATTTTCTCACTTACGAAAAAAATGACTTTCACACTTTTAATTCACATTCAATTTGCCAAACACCCCCTAAGGGTAGAGAGTGAGGGGTTGAGGGTGTGAAAAATTTTATAACTCCATTTGGAGAGGAGGGTTACTCTTAATTGAGAAGACCTTCTAAATTTGTAACTTTTACTACAATTAATAAAAGAATTTTTTCACTTCTTCATATTTTTCTTTTCTTCTCTTTATTTGATGATGAAGATTAAGATGGAGATGAAGATTAAGATGGAGGTTTGCTTCCGCCTTGAGGTTAGAACCCTCTTGGGATGTAAATTTCCTCTTTGTTAATATTTTTTTACCTTTTCACTTTATTTTCTTGTTAAATAGCCAAAAGGCTAGAACCCTCTTCTCTTATATTCATTTTCATGTTTATAGAGTAAATTTACTTTCATGTTTTTATTTTCTCGCATTTAATTCTTACAATTTATTTTGTAGTTTAGTTCTTGACTGTTTTAGACACAAGGCATTCCGGAATTCTGAAAATGTGGCTCACAATAACCAGAAGGAGGGTCTATCATAATTTATGGTATAGATGACATCAGCATCTAGTTCAAGCACACACATTGACATTTCAATTTTTATTGCAGCGGATATAATATGATTTACATCCACTTTCCATAAGCTTTACGAACAAAACGAGTACAAATACGCGCATGCGCTGCAAAGTTCAACCCAGCTGAAGCGAGAGCATAGATGATAGATTTACAAGGATGATGCCATATAGGGCTTCAATACAACATAACCGGAGAGTGCCGCCCTACTCCTTTCTTTAACCTTTGTTTGATAAACTACCCTGCCAAAAGCAAAATCTCATCGTTAGTTAGATCAAATGAGCCAATCAAATGGCTAAATACTTGTAAAACAATTAGTCAAAACGCTTACTTGGTGCCTTGAGGCCACATTTCTGTGACTAAGGTCTCTCCTGGGTACACATGAAGAAGAAAACGGCCAAAGATACTTTTGACTGCTGTTTCGTCCCCGCTACAAATACATTTGATGATTGCTCTCACGGCATATCCGAGGGTACAAAGACCGTGCAATATTGGACGTGAAAACCTAGAGCAAGCACAAAGGAGACAATTAAGCCTGGTCATCTGTATTCAAATACCAACTATTAGCAACCTTAGATTATAGTGTTAATAGCAGATGAACGCCTTTAGTACTCTGCTAGTTTGAACTTACTAGCCCTCTAGTCTCAATTGTTGAAGATAGACCTCCTGCGTTTACGTTTTTGAGTCTTTTACCCTCGCATAGACTTAAGCTAATTTCGCCTAGGGGCAATGTCTGCCAAAATTTCTACAATGGTAAAAGAGTCAAAAGTAACCCAGGGCGTCTATCTGCGATGATAAAACTTCTTCAGAGATAGTAAGTTCAGAACATTGATACTGCAAGGGTCTATGTGCAATTAACCCTAGATTATACTATCGGTATTAGAGTTTGTGAGGGATTTGTCCGTGCACGTGAACTAGAGTTTTTCTAATGTTGAACTATAAACAAAAGAACTAGAGACCATATAGGGAACATCTTAATAGCAACATCACAAAAGCATATTACGATTCCTGATAAAATAGGGTGTAGTTAACGAAATTCCTAAAATTATTAGAAGTTGGTTACTAGTGGGAAGAAGAAACAAACTAACAAAAGAGAAGGATGGTTTTTACAAAATACAAAACTGCAGGTTGTGCAACAGTTCTCTAAATGAAGAACTCAAGCAGAAAATTGGGAGTCTTTCTATAAATACTCTCTTCCTCATGCAACCATAAAGCTGATGAACTCCAAGGTGCATGCTGCATTAACTTTTCAGCTGTAACTGTATCATGCAAACACTATGGTCTTTCAGTTTTTTTTTCTCTGCTATTAAACATAAACATTCTTATATAACGATAGATCAAAAACCTCATACATTAAGATGGATTGCACTTAACAATACATATATTCCAAGATTGTTAATGTCTAAGTACATTGTTTCCATCTCATAACATGGCTCCACACGAGCAACAAACAAGGTGGATAAAGGTTTTTTCTGTTGTCGCTAGGCTACTTAAATATCTACTAGATTATTGACTCAATAGTCAGTGACTTTATCGACAAAAATCGTGATATTGGAACACCAGAGTGCAAGAAACCACTAATATTAGCAGTAGTCACATAAGATATCTCCATTTTGATGCCAAAAAATCTAACAATGCCATTAGATATCTGAAGTTGGCAATAATATGAATTACAGTGGAAGTGTACAGTCACACTATATTAGGGGAGAGATATCTACAACTTTGATAAATTAAAATAAGGAATTTGGAATGATGGTTTGTTGCCAAGATCAAAGCAGCAAGAAGAAAATCTCAGAATGCAAAAAATTAGTTTTTGAAAGCTTACCCTGCAGCCTGAGCAATCATAGGATCAGAATGCAGAGGATTATAATCGCCTGATAGCCTGTATAATAGAGCCTGTTTCATATAGCATTAGCATACAAGTGTATGTGATAAAATATTAAAAGCAACATATAGGATAAGTAGTTAGTTCTGAAAAGAAAACAAATTGAGCTAAAAAATCCATAGAGAGCTCAATATGGAAAACCAACTTAACCAAAAGCTGTTTCTACATATTTTCATGTCCTCAGGATTAGGGTAGAGACAATATAACAGTCACATAAACTTGGCAGAGGAACAGCCCACTTTGAGTCGAGCTCATATAGCCACAAGGATAATCCTGACCCATACTTAGCCAACCTGCGTGAATCATATCTAGGACTAGTGTGATTCAGTGACAATCCTAATTTCCCTTGTTGCTGCAAATTTCAGCAATTCCCCCAGTTGATTAAGCACCCCTTTTTCTTCAGAAGGAAAACCTAGGCTTCTTGTAGGAATGGTAGTTTTTATCTGAAACATAATATATTTTGTCGTCTCCTAGGCTAAAACACTCAGGCCTCTTTCATTAGTGGTATTTCCTCTTTCAAACAAACAAAACGTCCAACATCAACATTTGACTACTCAATTATCAAATGTCAGATAAAGAATGAACTAAAAATGCTTTTTTCAGAGGGAAAGTTGCTATACATTTAACTATTAGAATCCCGCAATCTAACGAAGTTAAAGAAATACAGAGATTCAGTATATTTGTTACCTGGGATGGCTGGGAATGATCCTCATATACAAAAGCCGGATTGCATTTTGGAATAGAAACATGAGACACCTGGTTAACTGGGTAGTTAGCATATGAAAATGGTGGTGAAGACTTTGAGAAACCACCAGCACCACGTAAGTATACAGTGCTCCTACAAAATAGGTAGTCTATAAGCTTTTCTACGGATATTGTTTGAACAATATAATTTACATTGAGAAGTAAGTGACACTTACCGATTCATGCACAATGCTTCACCAGATTCCTTGATATAGCTGGTGGTCTCGAGCTCAATAATAGTGGCCTTGCCTGGTAAATAAAAGTTAATGCTATAAAAGTTACATTCATACTCCAGAAGTCAGTGGTCATATAAAAGAGACCCTCAAGTTCCTAAACATAGTTGTTAGGGATATGAGTTATACTATTCCGGGTCCAAAATTGAAACTGTCAAATTCTTTATCCAACAAAAGAATAAATAAAGAAATCATAAAATCTGTCAAACTGAGCACAGCATCTAAAAACTTTGTTATGGAGAAGCAAGTAGATTACATATATTACATAGAGAAAAAACTCCATAGTCTGATACAAAAGAAAAAGTATGGCAGTAGAGGGACTCGGAAAAGGTAAATATTAGCAAATTATAATTACCCTAAACATACCTTTGTCATGCAAACCAGCGATTACTACTTTATTTTCAATCTGGAAACAAGGAAGAACTACATTAGTTATATCTCTGATTAAAAAAACAAAACATCAATATTTTCAGAGCTCATATAAGATAAAGTTGAACAGAAGGTGATTGCTACGCATTAACAAAGACAGGAATGGTCTCTGATGGTCAACCCCCACCCTCCACCTCTGCGTGAGTGTGCACCAAGAAGGAGAAGGGGAAACATGAAGTGTATGATTAAGACAAAAAAAAGAAGGGAAAAAAGAGGTAAAAGAGAGCAGGTAACAATAATAAATTAATGTAAAAGAATCTAATATAATGTCTTATAAGATAGGCATAGTGAACTTAAACAGAAATAATAAAGACAATGGAATAAAGTGCCTGGGTAATATCACACAGCATCCTTATAAAAAAAGGTTCCGATAACTTAAAACACCAGAAGCAATAAGTACATTGAATGAAGTTGATTGTGATTCAGGTGACTGTACCCACACTGCTGATTCTGCACGACACATTAACAAGCCAAGGCACCGAGGTGGATAAATGCTGTGGGAGAGGCAACTGATAACCACGTGTGAACCTTGCATGTGTCATGAGTCAGTTGATCCAGAACTAGGCTCTGTCCAGATCGAAGATCTACCCAAATTGGGAGAACGGTATCTATTCTCTCAATTTTCAGTCCCGACTCCATGTCTCTCTTTCACTTGTTCTGACATTGCTTCCCATTGCTCTCTAGCATGATCCAATGGTGATCAATAGCAGCTTACCTATGACAAGCATCAAATCATCATAGCTTCAGGTAGTAAATATTTTTTTCTCTGTTTATTTCAGTAGTAAATAGTGTATTTTGCCTTCGGTTCCTTTTTTTCCTTTTTTCTTCAAATCTATACTCTTCTCAGTTCCTTTTCTCTCCCAGTGTTCCTTCTTCAATCTCTCTTATGCTCGTATTCTCATTCCTTCTCTCTCTTTTCTAGTATGTTCATTTTCTCCTTCTACTTCTCCTATCTGCTTCTTTACTTCTTCCTGCTTTCTTCATCTTTTCTCCTTCACACTTCTTCATGATGAACAGTTAATCCCTTGTCCACATGCCTTAGTTCAGAGACAGAACTGGTATACGTTCTTTTCAACTAATAAAGTATAGTTCATTGACAGATGTTGACTTGTCTTTACCAGCCGTCAACAATGATATGGTCCAAAATGTTTCTGCATCAACAATTTCGTGAAATCGGATAACTTAGATAGTGACAAGTACCATATGAACTCAGACTTTTCATTAAATTATCCCACATAATCATATACATGTGATGTTGCAATACACTCTTCTGTTGCTATTTGAAGAAAATAATGATACCTACAACTTTATAGTTCAAACATTAACTAACCTTTTTCGTTAAGCACGTTCGTCCTAAAGAGAATTGATGTCTACGCTAAAAAAATTAAGAAGAAAGGCTTTATTCAAGGGCTGTAATTCTATGTTGATCTTCTAAAGACATGACTCCCTTTCTCATCTTTGTTATGGTGTGATTGCTACCTCTTCAAATCTAGATTTTCCCAACTTTATCCATTTCTCAGAATACGTGTCCTATTTAGTAGCATCGGATTCACAGCTATTACTTTAGAGAGAAAAGTGCAAAACAACAGCAAAGGAAGGATAAATCAAACATAGAATAAAAAGGAAAAAGGTACAGCCAGTCAGAGGCTGTGGAAGAGGAGCAAAGTAGTGAAAACAAGAGGTAGAGAAGAGAAGCAAATAAGAAATAGTAGTATAAAAGAGGAGAAGTTGAAAGGACAGTAAGGAAAAATAAGGGGAAGATGATAAAAACTCTCAAATTTAATAACCACATGTGACCAGAAGGAAACAGGGGGGAAAGGAGGATCCAAAGTCAATAGTACAAGATATTAATTAGCCTTAGTGGAAGATATTTCAAACCAGTTGGACAGCCACGTAATGAAATTAGGCTGTGAAGACAATTGCAGGGTCTTCATTTGAGAAGGAACAAGGAGCGTAGGGGAATTTGTATTTATGCACCAAAAGTAATTAGAAATACTTTTTCCCAATGCAAGTATATTTTGCCTCATTAGTGCCACGTAAAAAATGCCACCCTTGGCTTGAGGAGTACCAACCCATGTGCATGGCGTGCAGCAACGGTTTTGATGTGCAGAGACACCATGTAGTTTTCACTGTTCAGGTCCATCTGTGGGAGTGCCCTTAACAACATTTCTCTGTTGAATATAATCACATTCATTATATATAGAAAATATATGTGATGAGTAAATGAGTTTTAAAGATAGCGCCTCAGGCACTCAGGCGAGGCGATCTTGTAACTTAGCGCCTTGCATATTGTCAGGCGCAGGTTGCTAAGACAAGTGCCGTTTAGGGCCTCATGACCTCCTTGGCACTTCACCATCTCACTTTGGCACCTCAAGGGCTCGCCCTAAGGCATGTAAATATGTAATGCAGGCACGAGGTGTTTGGCTCTATTTCAAAAGTTTAAGGGTGCGAAAGGTGTTCAATAAATTAAAGTTTGTTTTGTTGGTGGATTTTTTTGGTCAATTTATTATTATTTGTTGTAACGTAATATATCACCTATATCATTATGAGGAAATGCCACAATTTAACCTTAAGTTCGAAGTGTGGTGTGCTGCTTAAATGTTTGCGCTAACATTTACTGGTTGCTATTACTATTCAGTATTTGTTACTTACTGTTTCATTTAGATAGTTTAGGACTTATTAGATTTGGGACTTTGAAAATTTGTCTGTAAGTCTGTGATTTATTTGTCTTGTTGCTACTTATTGATATTTGCATAGATAGGTAATGTCTATGATTTTTTTTTAAATAAGTATCACCTTGGTTCATTCAGACGATTGTCTTTTCTGCCGCCTCTTGCCTAAGGCAACATAGAACCCAATCGCCTTTACTTCGCCTTATGCTTTTAAGAAACTGATTGTCCCCGAATCAAAGTTGAAAGGATTCAGCCAGGAAGGAGACGTTAAATCTCCTAACATGATAACCAGAATACCACACAGATGGATAAATGAATATTAAAATACACAGGTGGGAGGGGGGGGAGGGGAGGAGGGAGGAGAGGGGGAGAGCGAAATGAAGCTTTGTCTAATGGAAATGCAAATATATTTTTAGTGTCACATAACAGAAGTTTCAGTTGATAACTATCTTTAGCCATTCAAAAAGTGAAAGTGTTTCTACATTCATATAGGAAAGAGGTCTCACGCAGCAATTTGATGGCAAAGGCATGTAGATCTCCATGTATTGCTGACCATGCAATAAAAATCTTGGATCAAATCTGTATGAAGAATGTAACAACATTTGCAATAATTTACTAAATGCATTGGTTTGGGACCACAAAAGGCTGCTGAGAGTAGGAAAACAACAGCAAATATTATGTACTCACTCCAAACCTGGCACATCATCAAGCCCAGTTCCCTTGCTAGTTTTGAAAGGAAATAGAGCAGCAAAAGTTGGTAAAACCTGCAATCATTAAATTTAATGCAATATTTTAGTACTGCTATAAGCTTCTGCAAACAATATCCGAAAGTATACACAGCTACGGCGCACAAACAAGCAATGGCGCTATTTTCATGTCTGACATATATCTGAAAAGGATAATTTGAAGACAGTTTGTGGGCACATGTTGGACGTATTTACTATTGAAAAAAGAGATATTCATGGTAACCTGCTGTCTTTTGATGAACTGCTATAATCTTTGCCGCTATAATAATATTAGTTGAAGTGCTAAAATCAAGGGGTCAATTTCCATATTTGGGTTAAAAATAAATCAGATTGTAAGAATGATTAGGTTCATGAATAATTCAGTGTAGAAAATGGTTTAAATCAAAGGCCAAAAAAATGTTCTGAATGAATTTTAAAGTGATTAAATCATGATTCGGTGCTTAGTTTCTAAATTTACATGCCTTACACCATGGATATAAGTAAGGACAAATTTTTAAAACAGTCCTCTTTGGACTTTTAATCCCAAAAAAGACCCATTTCCAACTTATTTTCAGAAACCAACCCGGGTTTAGCCTCAGCGTTGAAACCAGGTCAGTTTCTGAAGAAAAAAAAAATTCTGAAACTTCACGGGAGTTGAACTCCCGTGAAGTTTAGTAAGCTTTACTAAACTTCACGATAGTTTAACTCCCGTGAAGTTTTACTACATGTGTAGAGCCCATGTAGTATCACCTAATTGCAAGTAGACCCTTGTACTTCCATGTATGAATCATTGGATAGACACCCCCCAAAACAAAGTAAAAAGTTTATGAGGAGACAAACCCCTACAGTGTTATTGATGAGGATAGACCCCCATTTTCTAATTCTATTAAGGCATGTTTGGATTTCATTAGCCATAGGGGAAGTTAAGGGAAAATAGAGGAAGGTAATCTCCTCCTGAACCCTCCTTTTTGGGTGGGGGGTTGGGGTGGCGTGCGTTTTTTTTTTTTTTTTTTTTTTTGGGGGGGGTGGGGGGGGGGGGATGATGAGGGCGAACTCACACTCGCTGAAAACCTTTCCAAATGGGATGAATGGGTTCCCCCTGCAAACCCCCCCCCCCGCCCAAAAAAAAAAAAAAAAAAAAAACCTTTATCCACACAAGAAGGGGGTGTAGTCACACTTGGGCCAATACTACAAGGGATTTATTCGTACAAATAAAAATACAGGGGTCTGTTCGCAATTGGGTGTCGTGATACTATAGAGCGTCTATTCACAATTAACGCTAAATTCTTTTGTAGGGCAAATTTTGAAAACATATCCCTTTGCAAAAATATTCCCAAAAAAGACCCGTTTTGAAAATATTCGCAAAAAACAACCTATTTTCAGACCTGAGGCTGAAACTGAGTCGTTTTTTGTAAAAAAAAGTTCTCAAACTTCCCGTGAAGTTTTTTACATAACAAAACTTCACGGGAGTTCAACTCCAGTGAAGTTTGGGAACTTTTTTCCCAAAACCGGACCCAGTTTCAGCCCTGAGGATGAAACTAGGTCGTTTTTTGAAAATAAAGTGGAAACGGGTCTTTTTTTGGGAATATTTTTGCAAAGGGGTCTGCTTTCAAAATTTGTCCTGCTTTTGTAGTATCACCCATATCAAGACAAGGAATAGAGGGAAAAAAAGTAGACAAATAGAGGACGGGGGGGGGGGGGGGGGGAGTTTAAAAAACTACGACCTTGATGTATGACTGTCCATCTATATGATGAACATACTTGAGCTCCTTCCCATCAACAGCATCACTCCCACAAGCCCCAATTCCCAGCGCATACATCGCCACATCTCTATTACAAGTCCCCCAAAATCAGAAACACCATAGGAAAAAAAATTCGAATTGCTTTCCTTTTATTAGTACTTCACGTTGCCACTAACTAACCTTTCATCATAAGAGAATTCAGCCTGCATCAAAAGCAACAGAAAACTAAGAACCGAAGAAATCAAAAACAAAACCAGTCATTGAAAAAAGAAGAATTCGACAAACTGAAGGACCTCAGGGAACTTGTGAGAGAGAACGAGCTTAGGGTCGATGAGGGATAGCGTAAGATCGGAGCCCCCCATGGCTGATTGAGGAGAGAATTACCGGGAAAATTAGGAACAAATTTGAGGAGAAAGAAAAAGGGCTGAAGGAGTGACCTCGTAGGATTTGTAGAGCATGGGCGTTATTTATTTTTATTTATTATTGGGGATGGGGACGAGGGAATGGTGATTTAATTGCCCACGCAACTGTAGTCAGGATGGCACCAAACGGGTTGTCCTCTTTTGACCCGTTACGAGAACCAGACCCGTTACTCAACGGATACGGTTTAGATTCTTTTGACTTTGATTTTTGTAATTTTGTTTTTACCGGTTTTGTGATGGATAATTTCTCCGGAAGGAAAGAAAAAACCAGTTAGCCTTATTCCTGGCTAAATTTTGTTCTTGTAAAATAGGGTTTCCTTCGGTTAAAATGTGTCCAGGCCCCAAAAGTGGGAACTTCGTGTGACTAGCCTCCTGTACTTTGCCCCATATGGAATAGCCCCAAAAGTTGAGCTTTAATGTTTTAAGCCCCCTCCACGTCAGCTTTATACTAAAAGCAGATCGTATTTTGCAAAAAAAACCAAAACTGTCATTCTCTTTCTTCCCCAGACGAGTCCTGGTCCCGAACAACAGAAGTCACTTCTCATTAATGCGATATGATGGAAAAAATGGAGGGAAATTTCCCCCTTTTTTTACTCCATCATGAGCAATAACTAGTTAGTTCTCCATTACTCCTCCTCCTCAGACCAAAATTCTCTCTATAACTCTCTCCATTACTCTTACTATCCCTTAAAAATGGCTGAAAAGGACATCATCTGCATTGTCTCTTCACAGTATAAAGCGGTATTCTTGAAGATTAATTCTTCAACCACCATCTTGGATCTCAAGTTTGATGCGGCAGAGAGGTTAGATCTTCCATACGAGTCATTAATTTTGGCATACGAAGATGAAACAGTTGGAAGCTTAAAATTTCTCATTGAGAACGATGGTGATCTGACGTCTATAGTGGAGCATTGTCACAATCTTGGACTGAAAGAGGTTCACGTGCAAGCTTTTAAAGAAGGAGATAATTCTTCGAATAAACAGGAAAACGAGCAAGTCCGACAAGACATGTAGGTTAACTGTAAAATCAATTAACTTAAGTTCTAATCGTCTTCTTGTTAGTTCTATACTAGGTTTAACTGGACTTCAGTTCTAATTCGATCGTATGTTAGTTGTAATCTTGTGTTATGCTCCATACTAGAGTTCTAATGTTTTATTTGTCAGTTCTAATCGCTATTTTGTTAGTTCTACTAGAGTTATTGCTAGTTCCACTATAGTTCCCATATTGTTAGTCCTAATTGTTATAAATTAGATATAACGTGGTATAAATTAGACAATGTAGGTATAAAATAGAACTAACAAGCCATCAGTTAGAACTGACACTAACACACTACAGATTAGAACTAACACTGTGCATATTATTAGAACTAACACTCTACAGAATAGAACTAACACTGTGCAGATTAGAACTAACACTCTACAGAATAGAACTAACACTGTGCAGATTAGAACTAACACTCTACAGAATAGAACTAACACTGTGCAGATTAGAACTAACACTGTGCAGATTAGAACTAACACTCTACAGAATAGAACTAACACTGTGCAGATTAGAACTAACACTCTACAGAATAGAACTAACACTGTGCAGATTAGAACTAACACTGTGCAGATTAGAACTAACACTCTACAGATTAGAACTAACACTGTGCAGATTAGAACTAACACTCTACAGAATAGAACTAACACTGTGCAGATTAGAACTAACACTCTACAGAATAGAACTAACACTGTGCAGATTAGAACTAACACTCTACAGAATAGAACTAACACTGTGCAGATTAGAACTAACACTCTACAGAATAGAACTAACACTGTGCAGATTAGAACTAACACTCTACAGAACGGAACTAACACTGTGCAGAATAGAACTAACACTCTACAGAATAGAACTAACACTGTGCAGATTAGAACTAACACTCTACAGAATAGAACTAACACTGTGCAGATTAGAACTAACACTCTACAGAATAGAACTAACACTGTGCAGATTAGAACTAACACTCTACAGAATAGAACTAACACTGTGCAGATTAGAACTAACACTCTACAGAACAGAACTAACACTGTGCAGATTAGAACTAACACTCTACAGAATAGAACTAACACTGTGCAGATTAGAACTAACACTCTACAGAATAGAACTAACACTGTGCAGATTAGAACTAACACTCTACAGAATAGAACTAACACTGTGCAGATTAGAACTAACACTCTACAGAATAGAACTAACACTGTGCAGATTAGAACTAACACTCTACAGAATAGAACTAACACTGTGCAGATTAGAACTAACACTCTACAGAATAGAACTAACACTGTGCAGATTAGAACTAACACTCTACAGAATAGAACTAACACTGTGCAGATTAGAACTAACACTCTACAGAATAGAACTAACACTGTGCAGATTAGAACTAACACTCTACAGAATAGAACTAACACTGTGCAGATTAGAACTAACACTCTACAGAATAGAACTAACACTGTGCAGATTAGAACTAACACTCTACAGAATAGAACTAACACTGTGCAGATTAGAACTAACACTCTACAGAATAGAACTAACACTGTGCAGATTAGAACTAACACTCTACAGAATAGAACTAACACTGTGCAGATTAGAACTAACACTCTACAGAATAGAACTAACACTGTGCAGATTAGAACTAACACTCTACAGAATAGAACTAACACTGTGCAGATTAGAACTAACACTCTACAGAATAGAACTAACACTGTGCAGATTAGAACTAACACTCTACAGAATAGAACTAACACTGTGCAGATTAGAACTAACACTCTACAGAATAGAACTAACACTGTGCAGATTAGAACTAACACTCTACAGAATAGAACTAACACTGTGCAGATTAGAACTAACACTCTACAGAATAGAACTAACACTGTGCAGATTAGAACTAACACTCTACAGAATAGAACTAACACTGTGCAGATTAGAACTAACACTCTACAGAATAGAACTAACACTGTGCAGATTAGAACTAACACTCTACAGAATAGAACTAACACTGTGCAGATTAGAACTAACACTCTACAGAATAGAACTAACACTGTGCAGATTAGAACTAACACTCTACAGAATAGAACTAACACTGTGCAGATTAGAACTAACACTCTACAGAATAGAACTAACACTGTGCAGATTAGAACTAACACTCTACAGAATAGAACTAACACTGTGCAGATTAGAACTAACACTCTACAGAATAGAACTAACACTGTGCAGATTAGAACTAACACTCTACAGAATAGAACTAACACTGTGCAGATTAGAACTAACACTCTACAGAATAGAACTAACACTGTGCAGATTAGAACTAACACTCTACAGAATAGAACTAACACTGTGCAGATTAGAACTAACACTCTACAGAATAGAACTAACACTGTGCAGATTAGAACTAACACTCTACAGAATAGAACTAACACTGTGCAGATTAGAACTAACACTCTACAGAATAGAACTAACACTGTGCAGATTAGAACTAACACTCTACAGAATAGAACTAACACTGTGCAGATTAGAACTAACACTCTACAGAATAGAACTAACACTGTGCAGATTAGAACTAACACTCTACAGAATAGAACTAACACTGTGCAGATTAGAACTAACACTCTACAGAATAGAACTAACACTGTGCAGATTAGAACTAACACTCTACAGAATAGAACTAACACTGTGCAGATTAGAACTAACACTCTACAGAATAGAACTAACACTGTGCAGATTAGAACTAACACTCTACAGAATAGAACTAACACTGTGCAGATTAGAACTAACACTCTACAGAATAGAACTAACACTGTGCAGATTAGAACTAACACTCTACAGAATAGAACTAACACTGTGCAGATTAGAACTAACACTCTACAGAATAGAACTAACACTGTGCAGATTAGAACTAACACTCTACAGAATAGAACTAACACTGTGCAGATTAGAACTAACACTCTACAGAATAGAACTAACACTGTGCAGATTAGAACTAACACTCTACAGAATAGAACTAACACTGTGCAGATTAGAACTAACACTCTACAGAATAGAACTAACACTGTGCAGATTAGAACTAACACTCTACAGAATAGAACTAACACTGTGCAGATTAGAACTAACACTCTACAGAATAGAACTAACACTGTGCAGATTAGAACTAACACTCTACAGAATAGAACTAACACTGTGCAGATTAGAACTAACACTCTACAGAATAGAACTAACACTGTGCAGATTAGAACTAACACTCTACAGAATAGAACTAACACTGTGCAGATTAGAACTAACACTCTACAGAATAGAACTAACACTGTGCAGATTAGAACTAACACTCTACAGAATAGAACTAACACTGTGCAGATTAGAACTAACACTCTACAGAATAGAACTAACACTGTGCAGATTAGAACTAACACTCTACAGAATAGAACTAACACTGTGCAGATTAGAACTAACACTCTACAGAATAGAACTAACACTGTGCAGATTAGAACTAACACTCTACAGAATAGAACTAACACTGTGCAGATTAGAACTAACACTCTACAGAATAGAACTAACACTGTGCAGATTAGAACTAACACTCTACAGAATAGAACTAACACTGTGCAGATTAGAACTAACACTCTACAGAATAGAACTAACACTGTGCAGATTAGAACTAACACTCTACAGAATAGAACTAACACTGTGCAGATTAGAACTAACACTCTACAGAATAGAACTAACACTGTGCAGATTAGAACTAACACTCTACAGAATAGAACTAACACTGTGCAGATTAGAACTAACACTCTACAGAATAGAACTAACACTGTGCAGATTAGAACTAACACTCTACAGAATAGAACTAACACTGTGCAGATTAGAACTAACACTCTACAGAATAGAACTAACACTGTGCAGATTAGAACTAACACTCTACAGAATAGAACTAACACTGTGCAGATTAGAACTAACACTCTACAGAATAGAACTAACACTGTGCAGATTAGAACTAACACTCTACAGAATAGAACTAACACTGTGCAGAT